CAAGGTAGGCATCCCGAATGCACTCTTAATTTTAAGAAATTCTTCAGAAAGAAGCTCTACATGACGTTCGAACACAAAAAGTTAGCTTTATGCTTTAAAACTTGCCAGCTTGGCTTTGCGGTAAAACTTGGGGAAATGCTTTGGATTTGTGCAGCCCAGGGTGCTTTCATGCTCACAAATAAGAAGTAGGAGGGGAAGAGAAATTTTTTTCTCAAAATACTTCTTAAATTGCACAAGGAGAATGTGATGTAAATCGGCTGTAGGATGTTTACAGCACTTCCAGTAAAAATAGGCATTCTTAAGTCCGCAAAGAATATTTGTTTTTAAAGTAACTGGCTAGGTAGAATTCACCTGGCACAACTGATTGTCCTCCTCCTGCTCTTCAGTTTCTTGAGGCTATTGTTCCCAACACCTGCTGCAGTACTAGATTTGCTGGTGAGAAATGAGCTGTCTCTCTCTGCCAGGGCTCATTATTTCCATCCTGGAATAAATGACTCCTTGTTAAATAAGAGACTCTAAACCAGCTGCTGCTCTGACAAAGTTGTGCCTGACACCTCAGCTGATGGGGCACGTTGGGCGCTTCTAACAGGGGCCACTCTGATGATGATGTGCATATATCTTTTTAAAGTGTGTTTTCTAGCTCTTGGCAACATCTCAAGTGCAGTTCCTGTTGTGTGCTCACATGTACCCCGTGCTCTGAGCTTAGTTTGAGCTCGGATTCTGTCGGAAGCACAAATAAATGTACTTTGAATGTTACGTAAAATCTGCAATAATCCAAAAATACAGCTTAGGGCTTGGGATGTCATTTAAAACAATAACAACAACAGAACTGAGAGGTGAAACCTCCCAGCTACTAGTGTACTTGCTGTTTCCTTCTGTTGTGTTTTTTTTTTTTTTTAACACTTCCTCCACGAATTGGGGCATTATGAAGGAGCATCAAGAAATGCAGGCGGCATGTTTGTGTAGAAATTTATTTTTTTTTTTCAGCTAAAGGACATTTAGCCATGTTTGCCTCTGCTTTCTTTATGATTTTTCATGCCAGTTACTAGCAAAAGCTAATAAAATGTGAGGAAAGAAGCAGTAAAGCTCATGTGGGTTACCCCTTTTCTTTTGTTAGGGCCTGGCCTATGTGGAATACGAAAACGAAGCTCAGGCCTCGCAGGCTGTGCTGAAAATGGACGGCCTAACGATGAAGGAACATGTCATCAAGGTGGCCATCAGTAACCCACCGCTCCGAAAGCTGCCGGAGAAACCCGAGGCAGGCAGGGGCTCGCACTTTGCCGTCCCGCGACAGGTTTACGGAGCGTAAGTATCCGCGAAGGGTTAAAAAGGGAAAACTTTAAAAGGAAATGCCGAGTTTCGTTATATGTTAAAATGTAGGAAACTCACCTAGAATGCTAGAGAACGTTTAAAAGGTGCTGAAGAAAAATTCGGGTTGCTGGACTGATGAGGAAAAGCAGACTTTTGTATTATTTTTTTACCAGTAGAAGCAGGTTTGTAATGACTGAGAGTTTTGGGCATCGGATGTTGGTGCATTAAGGGTGCTCTTTCATCTTTTGGGGCGTTCCTGCTGGTTTTGTTGTACGTGCCCTGTAGATAAACACGGAGCTTCGGTTTCTGGGGACTGTTGAGCAGGTGTTCTCTGCCGGGACTGGGTATACTGTTTCAAAGGGCACCCGTGCAAAGCTTTGCACTACTTATTCCTGTCATTCCTTTCGATAGTAGTATCTAAATGAGCGTTCCTCACGGCGAACAAAGCCCTTTCTGTTTCCCTGAGCTAGCGTGGTGTGTTCGAAGAGCACTGGGATATTTTTAAATGTCACTTTTTTTACTCTCCAGCCGAGGGAAGGGCAGGACACAGCTTTCGATGATGCCTCGTGCGTTGCAGCGCCAGGGTAACCCCGTGGCCAAGGCTGAGAACGGCATGGTCCAGAACTCACCAGCAACTTCATCCAAAACCCCCGAGGAACCTAAAAGGATGTCCAACGCTGATTTTGCCAAGATGCTACTGAAAAAGTGAGCAAAAATTTAAAAGAGTCTGCAATCAGCAGGTCTAGTAAAAATGTGAAATGCCTTTTTTGGAAGCCATGTTGTGTCCTTATGCTAGCGAGGAGAGAACGCCAGTCACAATCGTGTGTAAATACTGTTCTAGACTGCTGCATTCATCGAGATCAGTGTAGGATGGTACAAACCCATTTTTTTTGTTTCCTCTGTTTCTAACAGCAAGGAGTTGTACTATGTTCTGGTAAATGGGCGTTATATGATTCCTCATATTGAGGGTAACGAGGGGGGAAATACTCCCTGTACAGGTCGGATGCTGCATCAAGTTTTCTCAATTACAGCCGTTTCTCTTTCGTTAACGAATGAGACGTGAAAGCCGGGTGTTAAACCTTGTCGAGCTCCACTGGTCGGTTGATTGTGATTGCAGTCCTCTCTCACGGCGAACCCATTTGACACCCAACCCACATACACGCAGGGACATTCATCTCCTTCCAGTCAGAGTTCAATAAATGGCAGATGCTAGTAACTTCACCACAATGGCCTATTTTAGTATTGGGAGAGTTTCTATACATATGTGTGTATATGTATATACATATATATGTATCCGGTTAACTGTTCTGTTCGAGTTGAGCTGTTTTTTATATTGTGTATTTGTAAAAGACATCCAGATTATTATTTTTAAGTGTTATGAGGTAATACTTAGATCTGGTAACTTTTTGTTTCCCATAAAAGCTGTACATGCTGTTGCTGAGGACCATTTCTTTTTTATTTTTATGTTTTCCTTTGAGGTTGTTTTTGCTAGCTAGCTCATGTCTTTCGCAGGTGGTTTCTGTATGGTTTTGTACAAATGTGAAGTGCAAGCTGACATTTCTTGGTTTATTAAACTCGAGTTCTCAAAGGTTTTCTATAAATACTCTTTGCTTTTGTTTAAATGTGGGCATTGGAATTGCACTTATCCTATGGCAGCTGGGTAATACTGATGTACCTCACCTCTCGGGTGCACTGAGATACACACGTGTCACTGAAATCCCTTGAAGTAGCTCATTCCGTCTAGTATGAATATCCTAGAACTGCTTCAATAATCACCTCGGACTTCAAACTGATCTCTGGTGCGTGATCTTGGATAGAGATGTGACTGCCCGTCAACTCAAACTGCTGCTGATTTTGGAAGTCAACGCAGGGAGGGGCTGAGCGAGAGGGGGTACCCTGGTACCAAGGTCACTTGTACGACACAAGCACCGCTGCAAATAAATACGATTTTCAGCGCTTACGCTCTGTGCTGATTTGACTTTTACTTGGAAAGGGTCGGCCTCCTTCCTTGCTCTGTGCCCCGTCACCACCACAGCTGTGGTCAAACAGCCAAGGGCTGTGCTCGCACAGTGTGCTGCCTCCTGTGCTGGCCACTGCTGGACCGGTGATGCAGCGGGGCTCAAAACCGGCTTAGAAACGTTCTGATAGCGCTTTAATACAAGCTTTGGTCTGTGGGTTGGACTGCTAAGGCTGGCATTCAAGTTTCCTGTGGCTGCTGGGGTTGGGCTTGCCTGTAGGGAGCGGGGATGGGTTGGTGTAATTCACCGCAGCACCAAAGTGCTTTGAGAACAGCCTAATTCCAAACAACAGACTCTTAATATTAAAATAGTTTTATTAATTTGTTACTAAAATAACATATATATCTTTTCCCAGAGCTCTAAAGTGCAGATTTTATTTACGTTCACGCCGTGCTACAAAAATAAGCATGCTTTGTAACGACAGAACCACCTTCCTCAGCTTTCGCGTGTTTCCCTGGCAGCAGCAGCCAGGAGGTTCACCCAGAGTGCTGCTGTAGTGCACCAGTAACTCCCAGTCTCCTCCTGTTGCCTGCTTGGATAAAATATGTCCTAACTGTCCTGCAGGTAAGAGAGGGTTAGAAGGGAAGAAACTCTACACTGGCCTGGGACAGTCTTAACAGCTTGTGCTGTTTCGCAAAGGGTTTAAGCTTAACAGCACTCTTGATTGGAAGTTTTCTGACCTTAAAAGTGTTTGGGATCAATTCTGCTGTTACACAGCTGGCAGGCAGGGGTGTGGGCAGCTGTTCTGCGTTGGGTTGCAGGTGCTTGTACCTTAAAAGCAAACGCAGAGCGTGCTGCTTTGACTGGTACTGCACCAACTGCCACTGTGGCCTCACAAAGAGGCCGTGGGTGATTCTTGATGCATTTATCGCGGTGAGGTGACCTGGTAATTAACTGAGACAAGTTCCCTTGGTAGATGGACGAAACTTGAGTTTTTAGCAAACTTGCTATACCCTTTCTTAAACAAATTGGCACAACTGATTAAGGTTGTCTCGTGGTTATGTATAATAACCTTTTCTGCCTGCAGCTTTGCAGAAGCAAGCTCTTTTCAAACACTGAACTGAACTGTGTGAGGACAGCTGCAGTTTTTCCCAAGGATCCTGCTTGCTGTGGTGGGATCTGAGGCAAGGCCTTGGAGCACCAGGCACTCCTTCTGTCTGAAGTGCAGCAAAACCACCTCGCAGTTCAGCGAAATAAGGCAGAGAGCATTTCTTCTCTTGTTCCAGCCACATCATCTGTAACCTTAAACCAAACCCTTCCCCTTTATTGTAGAAAAACTCACCCTAGGGAAGGCAACTGAAAGGAAACATGCGGAGTGCTACTGAAAACAGGAGTGGGAGGGGAGAGATGCCTTCGCTGTACTGGCAAACTTCTATGACTGAAGGGAAAGATTCTGATTAACATAGCTGAGAGTAACAGGGAGGAGGTAACACAAAAGCAACAACTCACTTAAGACTTTGTCTTGCCTAGCAGCTCCTTGCGAAGGTAATACAATACACTTGATCAACCAGGTGAAGGGTTGTGATTGAAGCAGCTTCCCAAAGAATTTGAAGGAGAAATTAAATTCTACTTCAGCTTGTTGAGCCCGTCTGACACCTCTCCCCACGTCCTTCCGGTAGCACAAGCAACGTACAGTGCACAGTCAACATCAGCAGTTCACGGTTCAGCTTGGCATAATGTATATAAATAAATTATATTAATTTAATCAAATGTAAGACACTTTAAATAAAGGAAATGCTAAAGAGTGACCGCTCCTGTCGAGTTATTTCCCAGTGGGAATACTGGGTGTCTTGGCCTCCTGTTCTCCCACACGTTTTTTTGGCTTCTAAACGTCCACAACCCCTCAGGTCTTGACAGGGATAGTTTGTTCGCACCCAGCAGCGCTGCCGTCTGCTTCAGGTAAGCCCACGGAGTACTCGGTGGTGGCGATGAGCAACATGTCCAGAGTCGTCTCGGTGCACTTGGCAATAAAGCGTATGAAAGGCCTCACATCACCCTCGTTGGCCACTTCCAAGACGTGATAGTACTCGGCCCGTTGCTCCTTACGGATGGTGATGGGTGGGTAGCCAGCCTGCATGAGAATGAGGTTCATCAGCAGGCGTGAGGTCCTTCCGTTGCCATCTACGAACGGGTGGATATAAACCAACTTGTAGTGAGCTAACGCCGCGAATTCCACGGGGTGCAAGCTCATGGCGTCCTCCGAATTCATCCACTGCACAAACTCCTGCATCTGTTTCTCGACGTCCTGGGGATGCGGCGGTATGTGATGTCCCACAAACACCTGAGTGGTCCTGAACCGCCCGGCTTCCACAGGGTCGGCGTAGCCCAGCACCCTCCGGTGGATTTCCAGGATGTCGCTGATGGTTACGGAGCCGATGCGCGACACCAGCGTGGTGTTAACGTATTTCAAAGCCGCGTGCATGCCGATCACCTCGTTCTGCTCCACTAAGCTTTTTCCAGGAACAGCGTATCTGGTCTCGATGATGTGTCGGATTTCCGACAGCGTCAAAGTGTTGCCTTCGATAGCAACCGTGTGGTAGATGTGGTGATAGTAGGACTCCTCCATCACCCGGCGCAGGGCAGAATTGCCTTTGGGGATTGCCATCACTTTTTTAACCTTGCTATCAATGATGCTAAAATACCTCTGATCTATCTCTTCCACTAAAGGCAGCGTCCGGTCCCGATTGATCAAAGCCTTCTCGTTACAGGGAGAAAGGGTTAGTGCTTTGGAGTACAAATAGTCGGCCTGAAGAATATCTTTTTCCTCTTCGGAAAAGATACCAAATTCATTCAGGGCATCCACATAATCAGGGTCCATTTTGAGGGCGTACACAAAGAGCTTGTGGGCTTTCTCCCGCTTGCCTTGGCGCTTCATTTCGAGGGCCTGGTTCAGGGCTGCTTTGGCTTCTAACCTCACTTCTGAAATTCAACAGTAACAGTTAGATAACAGGGTAGCAAGCTTGACTGAAAACCTCTGGAGACTGTCACTGTTCACTGACACAAAAATGAAATAAAGCCAGTCTGTAAGAACCGTAACAAAATTTCTACTTAAGCCTTCTCATCTTATATACATTCTCTTGGCAGTAACACCAGATCTCTTGCTGGAAGCACAGTCCGCAGGTGCTCACAGCACTTGTCTGGTTTTTCACCGATCAAGTATCTTCCCAGCAATAATGGCTCTAATGCAAGCAATGATACAGTGCTGGAATTGAAGTGATTCCTCTCAATGTTTTCTACATTTCTGTCCCGGCTGATAAAGGCAAAAACCGCAGCCACACAGGCTGTTCTGTGCCAGCCAGGATTTCAGGATTAATGCTGTGTAGCCCAGGTTTTACTATGTACTAAACTACTCCTCTCTCTTCCAGTTACCCCAACAGGATTCACTAGTACGAAAAGCATGAGGAAAAACTTCTGAGACAAAGCAGCACCGAGGGAACGCCAGCGCGTCGCCCTTCTGCAGCACAGGGCGATGGAATGCAGTCGGGCATGGCTGACGTCTGGGTCATTTACAGCTGATGTTAATTGGCAGTTGGGCAGTGAGAATTTGTCACTGTTACGGGGTACAGGAGACCATAAGGAGTGTGTGTGGGGCAGATACCTGGATACAGGGACACTCTTACCTGGTGATGCCTTGCTTTTCAGCACCAGCAGCTCCAGCCCCTTGGAGGTCACACTCAGCCCGGTTGTTTGTCCGGTGTACCTTGTGACCCCCGCAGAGCCTGCGCCCAGTTTACTTCTCAGGAAGGAGAGTCCTTTGAGCACAGCCTGGCACTGATCGTCCACAGCGGCCAGCGGGAGCAGCAGCATCACCAGGGAGCCCAGGAGCAGCGCCAGCACGGCCGCCCACCTGATGCGGACCCACAGGGTTATCCATTTCAGCTCGGGATCTGTCGCCATAGACATGAGATTCATCCTGCTTCCAGCGCTGAGGTGAGGAACATCTCCTTCCCCGCTGCTCCCACCTGGCAACAGAAGCGGCTTTAGCCCGAGCTACACGTGGCAGCGCTGAAGACGTGGCACCTGAGTAGACTTGAGCTACCGACGCTCTCCCAACCACCTACTTTTCCTGCTACCTCTTAGCCCGTCGGGACGGGGCGTGTGCAGCGCTCAGCCTGGCACAAATCCTTATGGGATCCGCTACGCGTTAACGCCATGGCAGCAACACGAGGAG